GCCGCGGCGCACGGCCTCCCGCCCGGCGGGGATGCAGAGATGCTCGGCCCACCTGGTCCATCTTGGGTATCACTTTCCACCTGCCCCCCATCCGGAAGCGCAGCAGGTTGTAGAACTCCTCGGGGTGGCCCAGGCACTTCACGAACTCCATGCTGCGGGATGGCGGCGACGGGCTATCAGACCTCTGGGATCACTTCTCAGGATCTCTGGCTCGCAATTGGCGGCAACCCGCGGAGGTGAGCCAAGGCGGCGCAGCCCGGAAGGCGGGCGCGGAGGCGGGCCCAGCGCGGCGGAGCCCCGCCCAGGTCCCGCCCACTTCAACCGGCCTCGGGCGCTCGCGCGGCTACCCGGAGCTCGCGGGGTGGACTGACGGGCGCTGATTGGGCAGAGCCGCTCGCACCAGGAAGACACCGACCAATCGGCGGCAAGACGAACCTGGCGTGACGACCACGCCCTAGAAGCTCATTGGAGGGTTGAAAGAAGCCTGAGAGCGGGATTGGTGTCCTAGAGAGGGCCTTTGTTTTCCTTAGCTTACAGTTGCCCGGGGGCTAGCCGGAGTTAAAGTGCGCTTCGCGAGATTTGCTCAGAGTCGACCCTCGGCGCAAGCTGCCCACTGTTCATTCTTGTACCCGCCTGTGTCGGGCTCGCGGGCGTGGAATTCACCGAGGCCTAAGTAGAAAGCCTTTAAAAGGCGGCCGGCTACCAAGCCGTTGGGCATGCGCTGCCCGCTGCAGGTCGGGGAGAAAGCGGCCGCGGCCGTGCACTCCCAGCCCAGCTCCCGCTGCCGCTTCTGCAGCCCGGGGTCGGGCGCGCGCCGCCTCGGGTGCACTTCGCAGCTGATCCCACTAAGCCTCAGAAAAATGCAAGCAAAGTGGGAATTGATCTCTTCCTAGACCTCAAGCCCCAGACGCCACCGGCTGCAGTAACCTCCTTCGGTCTCCCAAAACCACACCCGGTGCTCCTTTTAAAATCTAAGTCAGGCCCGGCGCGGTGGCGCACGCCGGTAGCCCCAGTGACAAGGGGGCTGAGGCAGGAGCATGGTAGGTTCAAAGCCAGCCTCAGCAATTTAGCGAGGCTAGAAGCAACCTAATGAGACCCTGTGCCAAAATAAAAAGGGCTGGGAATGTGGCTCAGTGGTTACGCACCTTTAAGTTTAATCCCTAGCGCGGGAGCACGCACACACGCCAGCCTCAGCAATTGATTGAGGCCCTGAGCAACTTAGTGAGACCTTGTCTCTAAAAAAATAATAATAATAGGAAAAGGCTGGGGATGTGGCTCAATGGTTAAGCGCTCCTGGGTTCAAACCCTGGTAATTAAAAAAAATCTTAAGAGAAGCTCACTGCCCCACCATCTCTCCATTTCACTCAGCCTTGAACTTGTGATCCTCCTGCCCCCCCCCCCCCTTCAAAATCACAGGAATTACAAGTTGCCATTCTTCCAGCTAGAATGTCATCTTTAGGTGCTGGCACTGATGTGCCCAATCTCTCTCTCCCTCTCTTGCTTTTTCCCTCTCAACTAATCATACACAAGTCTTCACATTATATCCATCCTTTAAAAAGTTACTCTTCTCCTTGACCTTCTCTTTTCAACCCTTTTCCTCCAAGGCCGAATTCTAAAGAGAAGACCTCCCTCCACATTGCACTTTCTCAGCTCCTATCTAGTTCCCAGCCCCTCTACACTGGTACCACTCTGCACAAACTGCTCTCTTAAAGGTCATCATGACCTCAAATTTGATTAACTGCCAAATCCAAAAGGCCTCTTCTTAGCCGTTCTCTTTCATCTTGTCATGATTCACATTATTCTCAGCTTCTATTGGAATTTCTTTTCTCCCTACTCCTTCTAATTTGGCTCACTGGCTTCTTTCTCCTCTGGTTCTTTAAATAGTATTTCTTCAAGATTCCATTGTGCTCTCCAATTTTCCTCAACCCTAGTTGACATCCCCTAGCTGACCAGCTATGAAAAGGGCTGCCAAAATGCAGCTAAGCTCAGCCTGGACTTGTAGAGAAACAGGCCTCCTTTCTGATCCCATTATCCCCCCAGCACATGTACTGCAGGTGCCTGGAGCTCTACACATTTTTTTTTTTTTTTTAGTTATACATAATGATGGGATTTGTTGTTACATATTTATGCGTGCACACAATATAACAGTATCCTCAAACTCACAGTCCTCCTACTTCAGCCACTCTTGGGCAGCTGAGATTACAGGCATGTGCTCTCAGCTCCTCTCTGAGGTTTGATAAACAGCCACTGAGCTCCTGCTCATCTCCCTCCTGATTTCCTGTCTCAACCAGGGGATGGCTTCTTCCTACCTCCACATGGTGGGCTCCAGCCAACTTCAGCTCTTGCAATCCATTCCCCAGTCCCCACATCTGGTTACCTGATGCCCACCGGAGCCCCTCACTGAGGACCTTCTCTTCTTTCAACGCCTGCTGCTGTACTGAGCCCTGTCATTTCTTTTCTTGGCAGATGCATCAGCATTTTTCTTTTCTGCCCGTCAGAACTAGAGTCCATGTGTGAAGATCCATATGTGGGCTTCAGCTTCCCACCCCACCTTCTCTCCTATTCTGGGTCCACCATTTTACAGTTGCTGACCCACAGAGAATGGTGGAGCAGCTTTGTTTTAGCCTACAATTTTACTGTAGCATCATCTTATAAGGGTTAGGAAGGTGAATTTCAATAACAAGTACATTTTTGTATATTACATTTTTTATGTGAATGTGCAGAAATTGCTCTTCTGGAAGGAAATGACCTATTTATCAAATATTTTCATATCACTTTGTTCAGAAGCGGGATTTTTTGTTTTATTTGTTTTTTGGTACCAGGAATTGAACCCAGGGAGCGCCTAACCACTCAGCCACATCCCCAGCAGTTTTTTATTTTATTAGAGACAGGGTTTCACTGAGTTGCTTAGGGCCTCCATAAGTTTCTGAGACTGACTTTGAACTCGTGATCCTCCTGCCTCCGCCTCTGGAGTCACTGGGATTACAGGCATGTACCACTTCTCCAGGCCAGAAGTGGGTTTTTTTAAAAAGGTAAATGTTTTTTAAAAAGCCGAAGAGAGATGGCCTCAGAGAGGCTAAAGATTTTCCCCAATCCTTTTATAGCATGTATTAAACTGAATAGTGTCACCCTAAAATTTATGTATTTAGACACAGGGCCTTTAAAGAGAAAATTTAGTTTATTAAAATATTTTTTAGTTGTCATTGGATACATTTATTTTATTTATTTATGGTTATGTGGTGCTGAGGATCGAACCCAGGGCCTCACATGTGCTAGGTGAGCCCTCTACTGCTGAGACACAACCCCAGCCTGAGTTTGTTTTGAGACAGTATCTCACTAAGTTGCTGAGGTCAGCCTCAAATTTGCAATCCTCCTGCCTCAGCCTCCTGAGTCACTGGGATTAAAGCTCTGTGCCACCATGCTGCTCTGAGGAAATTGCTTAAATGACATCACAAGGGTTGGCCCCAGGGACAGTATCCCCATAAGGAGACAGCAGAAGTGTGCATGCACAAAGAAAAGTCCACATGACAAAGGAAGGATTTAGATATATGACTATTGATTCTAGCTGCAGCCAATGGTCTAAAACACAGGGGCACTTTAGAACAGTGACTTGAGCATCCAGTCAAGTGATGCTTGGAAAGTCTGGGATCCCATGGATTATAACAGCTATATTCTACACTGCGTTCCAAGGAAGAGAGAGAAAAAGAGTTCACAATAAAATTGGGTTGGAAACACCAAGTAGAGCAAACTAAGAGAGTCTGCATTACTGTGGAGGGATTTCCTGAAGCCTTTAAGAGCTCCACAAATGTCCAAGTGGGAGAGATGGCACGTGATATTTCTCAAACTTATACTTTTCATCTGTAAGGCACGATCCTTCCTTGGATCACTTTTTCAGAGCTGATGAACACAGAGAACCTAGCTCCCTGAAGGGCATATCCCTAGTGTTCTGGAAGATGTGAGCCAGGACTTGTTCTACTCCTGTGGAAACTGTGGTGCCCCACGGAGGGACTACAGTGTGGTGGGCAAAAAGTGGGTGGCTGTTATGGAGCGTTTGTGTGTTGATTAGGTGTTAATGGAGTCATAGTTGAGTCATGAGATGTTCCCATCATGGGACTAGTGTCCTTCTAAGAGGAGGAGGATATCTCAGCATTCCCCTCCCATGTGAGGTCACAGAGAGGCACCATCTGCAAGCCAGGAAGGGGCCTGGGTAAGCTAATCAACCTTGATCTTGGAGTTGCCATTTCCAGAGCTGTGAGAAATAAGTCTATTAAGTCACCCAGTCTATAGTGGTGGATTTTTTTGTTTTTATGGCAGACTGAATGAAAGCTGTGGCTCTGGACTTTGAACTGTGTGATCTCAAATTCCTTAACCTCTCCAGACTTCAGTTCTCTCATTCATAAAATAAAGACAAAAAGAACAAGTACCTAGCTCCATGGGTTATTCTGCAGATTATGTGCAAGAACTATGGTAAGCGGCAAGCACCGGGTTGGGGTGAGCACTCAGTGCAGAGCGAGCACCCAGTGAGGGCTGAGCACACCACTCAGGGTGAATGCCTGGTGCAGGGAGGGCAGGTGAGCACCCAGCACTGGTCAGTTCATGTTAACTATCTCAAGGGGAAGTAGCTGGCTATGATGTGGTTACCCCCCTCCACGGACAGCACTCAGTAATTTCAGACAGATGAGCATAAAGGAAGGCCAGAAACATCTGCTACTCTTTTCAATTTCACTCTCAGGAATCATCATCTCCCTTGTGCCAGAAGCAAAGGTATACCTCTGCTCCCCTGGGGCAGATGGGCACTCACCTCCCTCCCTGTGTAAGTGGATGCATCAGTCCAACCCAGCAAGCTCTGAGAGGCCACCTTCATAATGAGATGCTATTTATAGTAAAAGACCCTTCACTGGGCCTGGGGTGTACTCAACAATGGAGTGCTTGCCTAGCCCAAGACCCCAAGTTTGATCCCCAACACCGCAGGAAAAGACAAAAAAAACAAAACACACAAAAACAAAACAATCAAAAAAACCTTTACTGCCAAATAAAGATGACACAGAAATAGCAAAGAGCTTCATTTTCCTGTTGCTGTCCAGCTTCATTTAGTTACCAACAACCTGAGGAATGTTTCTCTATGTCCTTTGGTTCCTGAATTGTTGATGCATCAACAGCCACAAACATTTCAACTTAACTGACGTGCTACCAGGCCCTGAGTTCCCCACTGGGCGGGAGACGCCAGCAGGAGCTGGACCAGCACTTTTCTCCTGCAGCTCCATCCTCATCCCCAGGACCCTCCACAGACAACAGGGAAAGAAACTTCCGTTTTCCTGTTTCTCAAAACCAAAAGCCTTAAGATCAACCAAACTTTCCAAAACAGGACACTTGCCAAGCCTTGCTGGGAACACAGTCATGTCCCACCCACACCCAGGCTGTTGGTTTTAGGGCTCCACCATCTTTCTGGGTGTTCCCCTCACCTGTGAAGACTGCCTTCCTCAGGAAGAATCAACGGAACTAGAAAAGAAAACCTACCCCTATGAAATCTGTGCCTCAGGCACAATCCAGAGAGTGAACATAAACAATACTGACACCTCACAGCCCAGGCTGTCCTCTGTGGCCACCCACAATCCCTGCCCACACCTTCCCTTCTGGACACACAGGCCCCATGGTCCTCAAGGACAAGTACCAAGAAGAGCTTGAGTGCCTCAGGGGTGTTGGAGCTGCTGTGGCTCCTCAGGGGGCACCTGGGGCTGGCACTGTGGGCACCACCAGGTGAGCCTCTGGAACCCGCCTGGGGGCCCAAGGGGCTCCTTGAGGAGCTGGTGCCCAGCAGGACACTGCTCCTTCCGGTAGATCTGCGTGTGCTGTGGCTTGCCCTGGAACTTTCCCTGAAGCCAGTCCGTACTGAACTCCACCACATGGTCCACAAGGGCCTCCCGGCGAGAAGCACTCAGGAGTGAGCCCAGAGAAAGGGGATGGATCCTGGCTCTGTACAAGGCTTCATTCTTAATGATGTTCCCTGAAACAAAGCAGGGAAAGGATGAGGAGGGACACGCAACATGCCACAGTGAAACCACCCCACAGGGAGCAGAGCTGGTGTGATGGCGGGGAGCACGAGCTCTGTCACACAGGGGCCTCCGGGGCAGGGCGGCAGGCTCCGCGTCCATGCCCTCTGCAAAATGCATTGGGCCACGCTCCCCCTGAAGGCTGTTGTGAAGCAAAATGAAGTAACACATGTGGGTCCCACGTCACAGCCAAGAGGCTGCAAGAAGGGCCTGACTCCTGACGGCCTGCACTGGAATCCCAGCTCGACCAGATCCTACCATATGGCCCTGGCAGGTTCCTTGGCCTCTAAGTTTCAGTTTCCTCATCTGTAAAACAGGAATGGCTTTGCTGGTTTTTGTGAGCAGTCAGTGAGACGTCACCTAAGAATGCTGAGCTCAGTGGCTGGTGGAAACATGAACTGTTCCGATGCCTGTTCCATGCAGAGTTTAGGAGGTCTTATTCAATTATTTGTCTATTCCTGCCTCATTCTTTATGAAGCCAGCCTCAACCCCTTCTTCCAGAATCAATGCCTCTCTTCAAAATATCCCCACAGTTTCTCTCTTTAACCCTACTGGGCCTTTATTATACCCCACCTCATCTCAGGGGAACTGGCCTGGTTTGCTGAGCCTTTTTAAACAATGGCTGTGTTAGGCTGAGAAGGCAAGTTTACCAAAGGGCAGGTGTGCAGTAGGTTTGGGGGAATGGATGAATGAAGTGACTGCCCTTTCCTGTTAGTGAACAGAGGACTCCCAGCTGCCTGCAGACCCTGGCCCCGTGCCTCTCGGTGCCAGGATGGCACTAGGCAGTGGAGGACACCAGGGGCACAGGTACGGCCCCTGCCCTTCAGGAGGTCACGCCCTAATGCACCTCAGGAAGCATAGGCTAAGAATCCAGTCAGCGTACAAATTCTGAAGCAGAAGTTAGAAAATGCTTATCTAACCACCTCTTGTTTTAGGGGCAAAAGGTAGTAACAGATATTGAACCCAGGGGTGCTTAACCACTGAGCCACAACCCCAGCCCTCTTTTGTATTTTATTTTCAGACAAGGTCTCACTAAGCTGCTTAGGGACTTGCTAAATTGCTGAGGCTGAGTTTAATCCTCCAGCCTCAGCCTTCTGAGCCACTGGGATTACAGGCGAGCATCACATGCCCGGCTCTAATGACTAAATACTAACTTATGAAAGAAATATAATGCTAAATTACCAATCATCCATTTTACATCCTGAGATTCTGTGTAATTTTAAAGACCAGGGAAGCTAAAGAGATAAAGTCATCACTTCAAGACCAACAGAACTATCCTCAGGACTCGAGACTCCCAGATGAATGACTTTTCCATTGGACGACTCTGAGGGACTCCCCCCTGACCCGTCAGTCATACCTAACCCTGAGAAGTATCTCTGGTTCAACAGTGTATAGCACACAGGCTGAGCCTGGCCCAGAGCCTCCAAGGCTTGTCCTCGATGGAACTTTTCAGACAAGATGTCACAGGTAGGTTTGATCACAGGAGAAGGGCTCCAACACATCTGGCAATTATAAAATGCCAGGAAGCCACCACCACCAAAGTGTAGGACCAACCTGGAAGAAAGAACAAACCACATGCACATGAGCTTCCACTGTGTCAGGTCACACTACGCTGCGACTCTGACGAACCTGGGGAAAGCCAGGCCTTGAAGAGAAAATGGACAGCTCTGTCAGAGTCACAGACATCACAGAGCTAAATGGAGTCCTTAGAACAAAACATACACGTGGGTTTATTTTTTCTGAGTATCTTCTGTTCACAGAAGAAAACCTGGAAAACAGAACAGCTCAAAGTTCAGGGGGTCTGACGACCTAGAACACAAAAAGGGGGCTCACCAGTAAGGAACACAGAGAAATGGCTGCAGTGAGGCTCTACCTCCAGCCCCAGGCTAGATTTACCAAAAAGACCCAACTCCCCTGAGCTGTCAGGGACAGAGCACAAAGTTATAAATGCTGATAAAGAAATGATGGCAACCTCAAGGACAGCTAATCAGAGCAGAACTGCCTCCACATCTGAAGGGGAAGATCCCTGAGCCCATGCCTTGGATGGAGTGAGTGTCCCTGGGGAGAGTTGGGACCAGGAGAACCCACTCTCAGTGCCACAGTCTGGCTGGGCACAAATGCCGCAGTCTGGCTGGGCACACAATCACGAGCCACCACACAGCTTGTAGATTCAAACAGCAACTCTTTATTCCCGAACTCACACCAGCCGTCTACAATCACGTTCTGGGGAAATCCACGTTCTCTGCCCAAATCCACGTTCTCTGCCCAACTCCACCTCCACTGGGCTTCTATCTCCAAAATATACTGTCTGAATCCCGTGAGAACTCAAGGGGAACTCAGGCAGCAGGATACGCCCTATTCCCAGCAGGAATAATCTTAAACCTTAAACCTGGAACCTAAACTGGGAACGCCCTAAACAGGATTATCTTAAAACCGGGAACACCCTAATCTGCCTTGGTCCTTGAGCAAGGTCACCTACATTCAATGTCGCTGCAACATGTCAGCAACATGGGGTACGCTGGCAAGGAAATTGTCATACCTACTTGGCTAATGGCTCCCAGCACTCAGTGCCCAGGAAACCACTCCAAGAAAAGATACATACCCAGCAAAAATCACACCAGCAATGGCCTCAATGGGGGAGATGGGGAGGAGGTGAAGAAGTGAGCAGTGGAATTCTGTAACAGGTGCCATGGGACATCAATGGATCGTGATTATGACAGTGCACCTAAGAACCATGGCGCCAGGATCAGGAAAGAGTTCTTGAAATAAAAGATATCCCTTTTAATGTATAGTTATAATATAATGATATTAATTAATTTAATAACCTGGAACTGAAAATCCAAATCAGCTTGAGAAACTCTGAAACTGGGGTGAATATGATAGAAAATTATTAACAAGTAGAAATACTCTAAAAGATTGATCTGAAAGGTGGGGATAGTAAGCAAAAACAGTTTTAATTTTTATGTTAGTAAAATCTGGATGGTTAGAGCTGCAGTGGGGCACAACCATAATGCCAGCAACTGGGGAGGCAGAGGCAGGAGGATCCCTAGTTTGAAGCCAGCGGTGGGATCCCGTCTCAAAATAAAAGAATTAAACAGGACTGGGGCTGCAGCTCAGTGGTAGAGCGCCCCTGGGTTCAATCACCTGTACTGCAATTAATAAATAAGTAAAAACTAAAAAAAAGACCCTAAACTCCAAAACACTTAGAAATTAATTAAGAAACAGTCTTCCATAAAGAAAGATTATATAAAGCAATAATTATTTTCTTCAAAGACCAAAAAAGAGTATAAAACTCAGGCAAGCCTGGTAGGGAAAAAAAAAAGGACAGAGCCAACTATAAAATACGAACAACAAGAAGGAACTTGACAAGAGGGTAACAGAAGAGGACAATACGTGTTCACTCTGTGACCACCAGGGTGAGCTCCGGAGAGAGCCTGTTTCAGGGAGAGAGGTCCCGTTTCCCAGCTTGTGACTAATTCCAACATAGCACCTTGCCAGGTGTGGCCGGCAGGGAACCCAGCTGGGGCCCTGAGCAAGCAGAAGCCTAAAAGCGGCTCCTCCCTCTGGCTGCTCCTGGGTGTGTATAAAGCCTGAAACTGCAGCTGCTTTTTGCTGCTGGCCCAAGGAAACAACCCAGGAGTGGCAATGTGCAAAGCCAGGAGAGTCCCAGGAACAGGAGGCAGGACTCAGAACCCAGCCAGCTCCAGAGAGCCTCCCTCGGACCTCCTGAGCTACCTGAGCTGCCCAAAGCATCCTGTGGGCCCTACATGATACTGTAAGCAAAGACAAAGTTTGAAACCTAAAAGCAAAATTTGAAAATAGAAAAGTCAGGAGGATCACAAGTCTGAGGCCAGCCTGGGCAATTTAACATGATCTTGGCTCAAAATACAATAAAAAGGTCTGGAGATGCAACTAAGTGGAAGAATGCTTGTTAGCAGGCATGAGGCCTTGGGTTCAATTCCCAGCACCACCACCTAAAAAACCCAAAACAACAACAACAAAAACCCTTCAGGTGACTCTGGAGTAGACGGGACCTCTTTAGTCAGAGGGAAACTTAGGAGTGACCAAGAAAAACACTGTTGACTACATAAACAGTAAAAACCCCAAATGTCAAAAAGCATCATAAACATAGTCAAAGGACACCAGAGAGCCTCAAACAATAGAGGCAGCACATATCACAGAGGCTACCAGACTGAATGTCCACGAGCTTCAACAAATTGATAAAAAGTACACAAAGGACCCAAAGCTAGCGAGAAGGCAGCCAAGCCAGCGCTTCTGTACAGCCCCGAAAACTTGCAGCCACAGAACATTCCTTGTCTTCACCAGCAACTCCCCTCTGGCACGAGCCCCAAGGAAATAACCCTAAACACGGAGCTGGCTGCACAAAGTCATTTTTATCAACATTCATAGATTAAAACCTGGGCAAACCTGTTCCCAAGTTCAGAGAGCAAGAGTTGAGGCATGAAATGCTCTTCAGAGACCGTCTGCCCTCAAGTTCCTCGTGTGTTGGAAACTCCCCTTCTCCAGGCCACCCCAGGGAGTCACGATCTCCCCCTCAGGTGCAGACCGCAGCCTACTTCCCAACCTGGGTAAATACCACAGCCTCTTCTGTCTCCTAAACAGCAGGTGCTAGGGTTGGCCATCCACCCACCTGTGCGTGACCCCCCACACCCAGCACCACACCCTGCCACGGTGGGGACCACAGGAATACTGCAGACCCTGCCAAGAACCCCGACACCCACACCGTTACCTGGGCACAGGATCCCTCCAGTCACCTCTCTTGTTGGCTTTCGTGGCTCTGGAGAACTCATTCACCCAGACACTGCCAAACAGACCAAAGCTGACCTGCAGCCACTGTGGGGCTCCTGTTGCAGGGCCATCTGTCCCCAGACCCTCGGGAACATCTGATCCACTGGGGTCAAGCTCCACAGACGGACAGGATTCATCAGAGGTTTTGAGTCTGCTGGGTCCCAAGGCTGGCTCTGGGGCCACAGTCTCTTCCTTCCTTGCTCCTTTCTGTGGAGGCTCTGGCAGTGGGTTGCTATCAGGGGACCCCGATTCTTCATCTGGATCAAATCTAAGGAATAATTTTTTTCCATGAACCTAGGAAAAAATGAACATGGATCTAAGCTTTACAGACCCAAAAAGGAGCTAAGGGCTACACAGTTACCCAACTGCCCACTGACTCCTTCTCCTTGCTGTGAAGCTGCCCCAGATTGCGTATCTGGGTCCTGCCTTTTGATCTTTTTGCTGTGGTGGTGTGGCCAGTTGGCCCATGGCTTTCAAAGTGACTGGAAGCAACTGGAAGAATTAGATTAGTAAAAGACAGACCTATACCAGTCAGCACAGCCACCCTAGAATATCTGAGCAGAACTGTTCCCAATGTTTTCAGGAATTGGCTAAGAAATGAGCACAAACCAGGTGCCTTGGCCACACCTGTAATCCCAGTGGCTCTGGAGTCCGAGGCAGGAGGATCATGAGTTCAAAGCCAGCCTCAGCAAAAGGCAAGGTACTAAGAAACTCAGGGGGACCTTGTCTCTAAATAAAATACAAAAAAGGGCTGGGGATGTGTGTGGCTCAGTGGTTGAGTGCCCCTGAGCTCAATCTCTGGTACCAAAAAAAAAAAAAAAAAAAAGAAATGCAAATTATCATTCTTCTATTCCACTCATACTACATGTCTTTATTCTAGAATTAATCAGTGTGTGCACAGCCACGGACTGTGGCTGAAGACAACACACTGTGAGATCCAGTATCTTTTTCCCACCTTCTGCCCAGCAAACCAGACTTGACAAAATAGCTACAAGTGAATTCACAATTAAAATAGATATATAATCAGTTGCCAGATCCTTGTATGAAGTGTGTGCACACCCAGATTCCAGGATGAGTCTTTTCCACGCAGCCTGAAATCCAGGAAGCCTTTCAGTGACCAAACCAACCCATCTGCCTTTAATGCTGGAAGTGCTTGTGTTACTTTTTGACCGTCAAAGGTACATCAAGATTATTGTTTTGATACGACCTACAATCTGTCCATTAGTTAAAAACTACAACGGTAGCCTCTCGGCAGAATATATCACCTGTCTAATAATAGTTTATCTGCAGAATAATTTGTCTGGAAATCCGAGCACAGATTATTTTCTGCCACATATTAGGGCATAACTGGGCGTGCACATGCACACACTGAACAAGGAATTAAGTGGACATATTAGAATTTATTCCAGAAAATACTTTCTCAGTGTAAATTTGCCAGTATTGAAATAATTCTGATTAAAATATTTGTCAATCAAGTGTCATACATGCCTATAACCCCAGCAGCTCAGGAGGCTGAGGCAGGAGGAAGATAAGTTCAAGGCCAGCCTGGGCAACTTAGCCCAGTCTCAAAAAATAAAAAGTAAAAAAAAAAAAAAGCACAAAAACAAAAGTACACAATTAAAAAAATAATAAATAATAAAAAGGCTGAAGATGTACCTTGGTGGTAAAGTGCCGGTGTTAATCCTTAGTACAATAATAAATAAAGTATTTGTTAAACCTTCCTCAAGGTCAAAACATTTACAGTCAAAAAGGGCTGGTCAGGATGTCCTTGTACCCTCTCCAACCATGCCAATTTCTGCTATGCTTCTTTTAAGTGCCAGGACACTGCAGTCACTTCAATTCACTAATCATTGACAACTTGCAGTATGCCTGACAGTGGGAGACTCCAGTCCTTCCCTCTAGGGGCTTCATATTTTAAAAGGGAGATAACTTTTTCACAGCTGTGAAAGCAGAAGCAACCAGGTGTCCTCCAAGAGATGAATGGGTAACATAACATGGTATGTCCATAACAGAACAGTGTTGCATTAAAAATGAAAGAATTTGGGGGGCTGGGGTTGTAGCTGGGTTCCATCCTCAGCACCACTAAAAATAAATAAATAAAGCTAATTGGGTTCTGAGTTTCAGCTAGGAAAGATTTTAAAAGATCTAGCGATCTACCCAACAATACCAGGAACATAATTAACTGAATACTGAACCATACACTTATAAAAGGTTGGTTAAGATGGTAAATTTTGTTATGTGTTTTTTGTTGTTGTTGTTTTTTTTTTTGACACAATAAAAAGAAAAAGTAAGACACACACCAGAGACTAGGAGAACATGGAAAGAAGTGTTGGTGAGCACAAGAAGGTCCACTCTGTGAGTTACCAAGAGGCCCAGCAATTCCAGACCCATGGGAACTGAAACCACACACCCACACGAACACTTGCACATCAGTGTCCACAGCAGATTACTCCAATTATCCATCAGCTGATGAATGGACATCATCAATCATAAAATATGGCATACCCATATAGTGGAAGCTATTCAGCAACAAAAAGGATTAAAGTACTGAGACCTGCTATAATATACATGAATCTGACATCATATTAAGAAGCCAGTCATCAAAGAAACACATACTACATGATTCCACATATATAAAATGTCCCAAAGAGGCAAGTCTACAGAAAGAGAGTAGATTAGTGGTTGCTGAAGGCTGGAGTAAAATGGGATGACTGCTAATGGGCACAGAGGTTTTTTGGGTGTAACATAAATATTCTGGGGCTGAGGGTAGAGCTCAGTGGTAGAGAGCATGCCTTGCATGCGAGAAGCCCTGGGTTTAACCCCCAGCACTGCCAAAAAAAAAAAAAATTAAAAGATTCTAAAACGAATCATGGAAAACTCAGTAAATATACTAAAAACTACTGAATTATGAAGTTTAACTGGGCAGACTGTGTGTTTTGCAAATTATATCTCAATAAAGCTGTTATAAATTTTTTAAAATGTTTTTTTAGTTGTCAATGGACCTTTATTTATTTATATGTGGTGCTGAGAATCAAACCCAGTGCCTCACCTGCTAGGCAAGCGCTCTACCACTGAGCTATAACCACAGCCCAAAGCTGTTACAAATTTTTAATTGGCGGGTTGGTTAAGATTCTAAGTATGGGGCTGTAGCCCAGTGGTAGAGTGCTTGCGTTGCATGCATGGGACACTGGGCTCAATCCTCTGTACCACATAAAAATAAACAAATAACATAAAGCCATGCTGTCCACCTACAACTACAAAAAAAAGTTAAAAAATAAAAAGTCCAAGTAAGCTAATGGCAGAGCACCCGCCTAGCACGAACAAGACCCTGAGTTGGATCCCCAGCACCACAAAAGAAAAAAAGTCAAAGTATGTAGTAACATTTGAGTCCTAAACCCACCTCCAACCCACGGAAATGGGTGGAATACGGACCTCAACAGCCACACAAGGACTGCGAGCTCTGAATGTCCCATCACAGGAGCTGCATGAGTCACCTTCTGAGTCTGCTGTGAGCAGTCAAGACAATTCCTACCCAGAAAGCAGAGAGCTGAAGAGGAAGGTGTCTGACAAACGGCTTGCAGAGTAGAACCCATCTTGTTTACTCCCCGTCCCTCCTCCTGTCTATAATTCCTTCTCAGACTGAAATGCCCATTTCCCCCTCAGTCTATCTAAATCCTCCAGTCTTCAAAGTTCAACTCAAGCCCCACCTCCTCCAGGTGACAGGATGCCCCCTACGTGAGGTCCTCACTGGGCTCTTAACCTTGAGATCCACTCCTCCCCATTAAGCACCGCTGTCAGTTTCCCTGTGGAGATACAAGTCTTTCCTTCCACATCTGGTTCTGCATTCCTCAGGGGCAGGGACAGAAAAACAGACAGGTAGGAAAAGGTGCTCCTGAGAGCCCCATTAAGCAGCTCCCCAAGGCCACCTCCTTGGGCCTTTCTTGGGTTCCCACAATACAGATTCTGCCTTAGCTTGCTGCGAAACCAGCTCTGGGTCCACCTTCAAGCACTCTTGTCGCACATTCTTCTGTCCACACTGCCATTTGATAATCTTCTCTGAGTCCCAGCTCTGTGACAAGCACTGTGATAAATGCGGGGGGTCCAGAGATAAGGGACCACACCCTGCAGCTACAAACCTCCCATGACAGTCTGTACAAAGAGACCACAGCCTGGAGTTTGGAAGACCTGGCTCCACAATGTGGATAGTTCTCTGAAACATGTAACTCATGGGTGAAGATGGAAGGATAAAGTCCACTTGCCGTAGCAGCAAGCCAGTGCCTCGTCCCCACGACTGAATCAAACACTCTAAAGCTAAGAGACTTGCTTAAGAGCTCCCAGCTAAGCAGCAACACAGTCTACTGAGTTTACTCTGTGGCCTGCAAACATTTACCCTGTGCCTCCTATGTGCTGGGTGTCCAGCTAAGCACTCAGGACACAAGGTTTATCCGTCTCCTTCACACCACAAGCAGCACAAATTCAGGAATAGGTACAACAGGAGGAAGTTCAGGTGTCCTCCTGGAGAGGAGTCTCACCCAGTGTCAAGCTTCTCCGAGGACGGATGGCCAAGTAGAAATCACCATGGTAAACTGAGGGGGCAGATAGGAGAAAAGGGAAAACCTGCTCATGCAGGGGAGCAGCATATCAAAACCCTGGGCAAGAATGACCCGAGCTGGGTGATCAAAGACAGACTGGGGTGGGTACAAAGGCGAGAGAGGCATGCAGGGGTCAGATAACAGAGCCAGTGAGCCGCCTGAAGGAATTCTGACTCCTGCTCAAGAAAAAGATGGACGGTTTGAACCCAGACCTGCAGCAATCCTCTTTCCTTTCATCCCCACTGGCACAAGGATCAAACTTGGTTCCCAGCCCAAAGCTGAACATCAGACACAGTTTGAATAGTCAGAATGTCTCCAGACTCTGAATGGGGGTCTCCAGCTCATGCCTCTGTGATCTTCAGAGCCCACAGTCCACGTAATGCCCACTTCTGACTGGGAAACGTCAGACTGAAAGACCAGGACCCATATGGAGTCCTGCAGTGGTTGTCCAGGGCCAATGGGAGGGATAGCATGAGACCTCTTGGGGCAGATTCCAGGGGAGGCACAGGATGGGCTAAGGGAGCCTGACTTGCAGAGGATACAGAACTCACCTGGGTGTCCTGGAGCCACAGAGACTGAAGGGTGGCAGGGTATAGCTTCTTACTGCTGCCCCCTGTCTTGACCACCTGCTGGCCCACAAAGGGAGAGATCAAATGGTGAAATTTCCTCACAGATGGTCCTTCTGGCATCTCTGCAGGCAGAAACAGGCAGAAGAGACCTTAGCTCATTCTCTCTAGCACTCCTCATTCTCCCAGCTCTTAGCAGCCGGTTCCTGCCACAAACTTTAACAGTCTATATGGTCAAAGAGAGAGCGCAGCGGGGCAGGGACCCATCAGAGGAAGACAAGCCACAGAAGGGTGTGGGTCCACTTCTCAGGAATGAGTTCCCAACTCCTCTTGCCTTTTCTTCATTCAGCACACACCAACAGCGTGCTAGCCATCACATCATGGGTGCCACCCACTTCGGTGGCCACCTGGGGAACGACTCTCATTGCCTTCTGCCTGGACTGTGCGCTCCTAACTCATCTCCAGCTCTGTCCTCCTCCCCCTCCCCACTTCCCGAAACAATCACTCCAACCCTCTGTGCTGAGGGATCCCCCCACTTTTAGGGGACAATGGGACCTGGTCCTCCTGTGACCAGCCCTCAGGTAGGGGAGATGTGCATGAGATCTGCTCGGCCCTGGGGTCCCAGGGGCGGCCACAATGCAGAGAGCACCCAGAACCCACAAGTGCAGACACTGGCCAAGCCAGTTGAGAGCAGAAAGGGTCAGTGCCCAGCAATTATCAAAATTTTTTTTGATAATTAATTAATAATTAATAATTTTTGTTGTAGCAAAAATTAATTGCTACAACAATTATCCCTGACCACCAGGAAGCAACATTGGTCCCCTGCAGTGTCTTGCAGGCCATTTGTGACCTTGACCCAATCATCCAAGTTCACTGAGAGCCCCCTGTGTGAGGCAGTCTGAGTGTTCTGCACATCCCATCCTCACTCAGGGCACTACTAATACACCTGTTTCCTCAGCACAAGTTATGTGCTGTAAGTCATGGTGAAAATTACTCAGGTATCTGGCAGGTGGCAGCTAGTACTTCAGTGATTCTAACAAAAAATTTAAAATATTTTTTTAAATTGAAGATGTCTCTAACATTCCAGGAATTCTCATAACTTCCTCAGCAGCACATTCCATAATATGCATCTTAAAATCCGTGACACTTTATATTCTCTGAAAGTGATAATGTTCCTCCTACTCAGACCCTCAAGGGAAAACTGTGGGCCGAAAGGCCCCTTGCCAGAAAAACCGACCTTCACCAGTTCTGAGCCCGACTGCCTCCCACACAGAAAGCTTCCCGAAAAGCCACCCTTTGCAAGGCACCCACATCTTGAATCTCTCGGCTCATGGACAGGTTTAAGTATTTTGATGGAGGAAGAGAAGTGGCCGCAAGATGAGAACCGAGGGTCCCTTCCCGCAGGACAGTTACAGCCAGGTCGCCAGGCTGGGTGACAGGCGAGGAAGGGGAATAAAAGGTCTTCGCTGCTGTTTCCAAGGCAAACTGCTCCCCAAGGAGAGTCTAAGATGACTGCCTTTCCAACTCTTTACGCGGTTCGGGGGAGAAGGGGGCGCAGAGACTGGAATGAGGGTCCCTGGAACTCCCGGGACAGAGGCGCCGTGGTCAACACGCAAAAAGGAAATGAATTCGGCCAGGGTGTGGTGCCTTTAAGAGGCGCTTCTCAATTTTTCTGTAACTGCGTTTTCACAGTCACGCACCTACGAGGCGCAGGAGCCAGACTCGGGCCCAGAGGCCCCGGCACCGGCCGGGCAGGAAGCCGGGGGCGGCGCGGCCCCGTCCTTCTACTCCACCTTTCGGGCAGGCGGCGGTCCAGGGCCGGACTCACCGGTCGCGGTAGGCGGCCCCTCGGCCAGCCCCAGCTCCGCGGCTCACACGCCCGTCCCCTGGGTCTCCGCGGACGTGGGCGGGGAGGACCCGCGCCCCGGAACTGGGAGGTCCGCTCCGGGGGCGGGGCAGGGGCGGGGCTCTACCCTGGGGGCGTGGTAATCCCCGCCCGGGGTGGGCGTGGCGCTCTGCCCGGGAGCGCGGGCTCCGCCCCTGGGGTGGGCGTGCTGCTCGGTCCTGGGGGCGAGGGGCGGGCAATTCCTCCCCCCCACACCCCCGCCCCCCGGAGGTGGGCGTGGAGTTCTGTCCTGAGGAGCGGGCCGGGCCCCCGGGGTGAGCGTGCACCTGCCCCCACCCCCAGTGGTGGGGGCGGAGTCTTCCCCAGAGTGTGTGCTCTTGGAGTTCTGTATTGGGGGACAGGACCTCTTCCTGGATTGGGGGCGCTGGAAGCAGGGCCGGTGGCAGATGGACAGGAGTAAAGGGCAAAAAGCGAGGTGGAAAAAAGATTCTGGAATTGAGAAAGCAAAACACTCTTTTATTTATTTACTGTCTCATAAGGACAGTTAAAGAGAAAAGTCTTGAGCTCCAAATGGGACAGTCTTTGAGTGGTTCAGGCCTTGACTCAGGCTAATGCAGTAATAATGGGGGAAAGGAAACAGATTGTCAAGGAATTCCTATGAAGTTTTTATTTGTTTTTTCAGTGCTGGAATTCAACCCACTGCCTCAGGCATGCTAGGTAAATGCTCTCACACTGAGATATGCTCCCAGACCCCTTTTTAAAGGATGGGCTATTTTACTTTATATGATTTTAATATTATTTTTACTGTAAGCAAATTTTGCTTTAAAATATTAGTATAAAGGGGGCTGGGGATATAGCTCAATTGGTAGAGTGCTTGCCTTGCATGCACAAGGCCCTGGTTTCAGTCCCCAGGACCAAAACAAAACAAAACAGTGTAAAGCTGAGTGATAGTCCCAGCTACTGGGAGACTGAGCAGAAAATTATTACTTGAGCCCAGGATTTGGAGGCCATCCTGAGTAATATAGGTATCAGTTTCCCTATAAAAAAAGTGTATTGATTTTTTTTATTTGAAAGAATAAAGGCAATAAAGTAATAGGCTATTCAAAGATAATTACATTCTGTTGTTATTTCTCCAAGGCGAACAGGGAGCCAGCATTTTCGAGTTAGTAAGCAAGGAAGTTTGGAAAATGCTGAGCAGGTGTTCAGGAAACGGCCAGGATGGCAGTTCCAGTACCCTAATGGAGGGCCCTGAGAGGATTTATCTGGCATAGGGAGCCAGGCCCAGTCCCTGAACACAATATAGGTGGCCTCCATGGTGTCACCTACTTAAGGGCTAGGGCAGGTAAAGAGAGGAAAGCCTGGGGGTCTCAGATATCTAGGGTCAAGAGGACCCCTAGAGACAGAGAGGGGGAGGCTTGAGGACATGGGTTTGCAGGACAAGGTTTCCAAGTTCCTGTATCTGCTTCTTTGGGAAAATAGCATCCCTACCACAGGATGCCTCTTGCTTTAGGATCAGGCTCACTCCTTGGTAGCTTCCAGAATCCCCTGTTCCCCCTTTGTAGATTGGCTGTGCTTGGAAGGGCAGCCTAGCCTCAATCTTTATCTCACCTGGTAGAATGAATGCCTCCCATCTGAGATGCTTCTGAGATCAAGGGACTATGCAGTTGAGAAACTATATGGTTCACAGCTTGGCTCTGTCATTTATAATTATTGCTTTTTGTTTTTTTGTTTTGTTTTCTTTTTGTTTTTAAGTTGTTAATGGATCTTTATTTATTTATATGCAGTACTGAGAATCCAATCCAGTGCCTCACACATGCTAAGCAAGCAATCTACCACTGAGCCACAACCTCAGCCCTATAGCTATTGCTTATTGAGAAGATTCTATATGCAAGTCAGTTTGTAAGTTCTTTACATGTATTGACTCATTATTATCTGTGGGAATGCAAGCAAGTCACAATATCTTTGAGTATATTCATTAAATTGAACATCTGTTTCATGGTATTTTAGACATAAAACCATACTTCTAAAACTTTTTTTTTTTTTTTGTACCAGAGATTAAATTCAGGGGCACTTGACCACTGAGCCACATCCTCAGTCCTATTTTGTATTTTTTAAAATTATTGTTAAAGACAGGGTCTCACTGAGTTGCTTAGCACCTCACTTTTGCTGAGACTGGCTTTGAACTCATGATCCTCCTGTCTCAGCCTCCTGAGCTGCTGGGATTACAGGTATGCGCCACCTCGCCCAGCTTACACGTCTAAGCTTTAATGAGCATATGAATCACCTGGAAACCTGTTTAAACATATTCTGGTTCAGTCTATAGCAAGGCTCAAGATTTGGTCTTTTCAACAAGTTCCTAGGGACTGATGCTGCTGGTCCAAGGACCACACTTCATGCTTGACATGCCAGGGCCTAAAGAACAGTACTTAGAAGCTGAAATAATGACTAAATGTGATAGTAGTTAGGGAACACACATAACAAGTGCTTAGAAACAAGCTGTGTAAAGCTCCCCAGCTTGTAGGATTCACTATTTAAAAGAATCAGGGTGGGTGTTAAAACCCAGATTCTGGAGTCCAGCGGACATGGTGTGAATCTTGAAAGCCTTGTGATCTTCAAATGACTTAAAAATTCATGGGCGATATCATCTTCGTGTTTGTGGGGGTATGCAATGTTTTCTGTAGCTATGTAAAGCTATTAGCAGTGTCTTGTATGCAGTAGTGCTCAATAGGCGTAGGTGGTTTCAGCAGAATTTTTTCAGTTTAATGTCTTGAAAACTCAAAGGATACTGAAGGTGGAAAGGGAGAGGAGAGTGTGGGCGCCCCCACATGGTAAATGCACAAACTGCAAGCACCATGCAGGTCCAGTCTCTAGGCCTTCCTAGTGAGGGCAGATAGGGAGTAAAGATGCTTTTCCCCCACCAGTTCTGTGGCTTCGGGAAAGTTCCCTTCGTGGTGGTACAAGAAGTTTGGACCCTCAGATGATCTCTGAAGCTCCCACAGTCTGTAAATAAGGCAGCATCCCGGCCCTGGGCTTCCTTTTCCTTAGCAGGATTCAGTTTTCATTCTGTTTTGTTTCAGCTATTGAAAGTCCTAGTAGCTTGTCTCCTGTAACCCCACTGAACTCTCACAGAGTCTATACCTCTACTTCCTGGAAGGAAGGTATTGAACAGTCCTCCAGCCCTGTCATTGGAGAACTGTGCCAACTGGTAGATTTTAGGCTGCAGGACAATCCTGGAGCCAAGAGCAGCTTCAGGGGCTTTGACGACTGCCCTGGGAAGGTTTGATTGCTCGGCTCCATAACTAAACATCAAGATTTATTCTGGGCCCAGCTTGTCTAGGGCACCATAGACAAACTTGCAGTGTTCGGGATGACAGACATAACCTTGCAGCCCTGGAGGACACCAGAGCCTCAGAGCAGGGGTTCTTAACCAGGGGAATATGAAGAAACTTCCAGAATTCACACGACCCTAAGATGCTGAGTGGTGTGCAAAATCGCAAGCTATGTTTACCTTTTGGGGGAACGTGAACATAGTTTTTGAACATTTACAGAGAAGTCTGTGATCTCCCCACACATTAAAGACAAAAGAAAGCACTGCCCCAAATTGCAGAAATGACTGACCCTGAATATTTTGTCCTGGGAATCCTGCAGCAGGCCTCCTACTATTCCAGGTTGTAACCTGCCACCCTCCCAAACCTGTCAGCGCAGCTGGGGAGTGAGGGAGAATGCCAAGGTCCTTGGGTAGTTTTCAGAAATCACTTGAACTAAGCCTCAGGGTGCGTGGCAACCGCAGACCCAAAAATGTCCCCCCAGCTTCCTTTGAGGGGATTCCTTTTCAGGGCCTATGGGCTTTCTTCAACAGCTTCTCATTGATGTCAAATTTCTCTTATTTGCAGGGCATTTAGAACAAGGATGGTGACAAACATGGGCCAAATGATGGAATTCTGTTGGGGCCTCAAATTAAATGTGGCTAAGTGATATGCAGCCTGCTCTCTCAGGTCGTTTATGGAAGGTTCTGACTAGCAACAACTGTGACGCTCAGAGTGCAGTTTCCAGGCGACCTCTCTGAGGGGCAAGGCTCACTGGTTATATAATTTCTGAAATATCAAGCTGAGCGCAGTGGCACATGCCTGCATCCCAGTGGCTCCAGAGACACAGGCAGGAACATCACAAGTTCAAAGCCAGCCTCAGCCACGGCCAGGCACTAAGCAACTCAGTGAGACCCTGTCTCTAAATAAAATACAAAATAGGGGTGTGGCTTGGTGATCAAGTGCCCCTGAGCCCAATCCCAGTTCTCAAAAATAAAAAAATAATAATAATTTCTAAAATTTCTGTTAGCATCATAAAATCTAACAGGAAAGGTTGTACTTTTCACCAATATCTAGACTCTAGAAGGAGCACATTCAAATCTCAGGCTCTGAGGTTTCCTCTGTGCCCACAGAGTGTGTGGGACCCACAGGGAGAGGCAAGTCACCTTCCTGTGACTTCTTAGGCATGGACACTACGTCTAATCCAGTGTGACTCTGGAGAATATATCTTTGTCATCTCCTGACCATATCCACAGCATGGCAGGTACCAAAAGGGAATGTGATATGTGCCCCCTTGTGCCATAACAGATTTGGCAAGGACAAGTTTATGTCATTTACTGTCACAGATGGATTAGGCTCCAAGATGCCTTACAGAATTCCAGGGCAAAACATTTATAGACAAGGCGGCTGAGGTGCCCAAAGCCACACAGCTGGCCTGTGGCCACACATGGGCTAGAAAGCAGCTTTCAGAATTCCCAGTTTGGGGCCCTCACCAGTGCTTCCCTTGCCCTGCTCCT